TCTTCGGCGCCTTTTCGCGATCCTTTAATCCTAACAAAGTCGGCTTATCGGGACTAACTGGACCAAAAAACTTCAGCCTAGTTCGGTAAATGCAGTAGGTCAGTGCATTACATTCGACACTCAACCAAGAAAATAATCGCACTTTTGATGTGCAGGATTGGGTCAGTAGAGTTCTGAAGGAAAATATTGAGCAAAGTCGAAAACTTGGCGCGTTCAAAGAGATACCGTGGTTCACCCTGAACCTAATCCTTTTAGTTTGTGTATTGCTCTCACTACTTGTTTTCGACGCCTTTTTTCAGCCCAAACTGAGAAGCAGTAGAGGATTCTTCAAGGTGCTTTGCATTCGATCTTGTATGAAAGCTGAACTGAGAATGTGGGAGAGGTATAGAAGGGGAGGGCGAGGGGGGGTGGGCGGGAAGGGAGGGAATAGTTGCCTTAAATTCTCCTGTTGCCAGCCTTTTAGTTTATGTCTCCGTCATGAGAAAAAAGTCCAGTGACTTGTTGGCAAATGGGGTGGCAGAATGAGACTATCGGGCGATTTCCTGTATTCGATTTTCTAGAACTGAGTCATCCCTTGATCTTTGACGACGCTTCTTTCCTCTTAATGTCTCTTCTACTTTTTTAGCTACACAGTTTGTCAACTGACAAATACGTAGAGATATAGTCGTATCAGCAATTTTCAGGAGAGAGATAAATTCATAGGGAAAAGCCAATAACACAAACAAATAGAGGTCGTCTGGCAATGGTAGGCGCATCAGACGTCATCAGCAGCACACATCGTCACCAGTTCCCTGTTCTCCACCCAAGCTGAGCCTTACGCCGTTTTCAAAGGGGAAATTATTTAAGGTGAGAGAAGGGAAAGCAGAGTACTTTTTTTTCCGGAAATGTGGCATCCACATTAATGTTTCTATTGCATGCGCTTCCAAAACTCTCATCAATTCGAGTAAAAACCAGGTGCACGGCGCAATTGAAGAATGTTTTCGAATGCTGAGCATTTGATAAACTTGAAAGATACCGTAGCGATTCTCGCCCTTGTCATCAGAACGCTGGCCTGTGACGAGTCCAGACACCTGTGTGTTTTTGCCTTTAGGCATGCGACGATCGTGTGGAATCGGTAATTAGAGATTGAGGTGTGCGTGAGAGATTGCGATTTTCACATGTCGACATCGTCTTTTAAGTAACGCCAATGTGCACATGTGGGATGGGATTCCCACATGATGACGGTATTTTATGGGGCCAATGTCGAATTTGATGACGGTCACATCAATGGAGCTGTGCGACGATCGCGTGCAACATGTCGGTCTAGTGGCTGTGAATGGCCCTCGGACGGTTTTCATGTTCATGGTGATCCCGGAAATAGTCACTCTTGCGCAGGTCTTTGTGGAAATACCCGGTGAAGCTGTAAGGAGTGAGATCTACGGTCTCCGGGGCAGAGGAAGTAGACGTGCTATAGTGGACCGGTAATTTAACGGTTACAATGATACATTGACAGGAAGCGATAACAGGAGCATTTTAGGTAGGAATCATACGGTAAGACAATGACAACACTCAGGATAGGAATTGGGGAGGGGGTGTTCTGGCAGGTCGGGTCCCAGAGAGTATGAAGCAGTGGTAGCCTGGCGAGCTCTCTCTATATATGATTTTTTTTGGGCAGGATACACTCTAAAAGGACCCATCCTATGGAAGAGACTGAGAGATAGAAAGGCAAAAGGTCGATTATCGATTATTCCTTTTCGAGATGCCCCACGCATTTCACCTACGTCAGAATCGCAGCAGCATTTCAATGCGGCTCGACCCGAAACAATTTTTACTTGTTTTTCCTTTACCAAATTTCCTGTACCGTGCTAGGCGCGAACCCAGGATAGGCTCGGTAGTAATGGCCGTCGGTTTCCCTGTGCTCTAACGATCTTTAATGGTCATACGGCTCGTTAACCTGAGCTGGAACAATAGAATCCATAGCCAAAGGAAGCCGGGCGGGTTTATTGCTTCCCTCAAAAGATTTGAACAATGCAGCCAATTATAAGGGTCCCCAGAGCACACGAATTCAAAGGGGTTTTATGATCGTGGTTGTTAACGGCTTTGATGTATCCTTAGGGTTATGGGTGGTCAAGGGTAAGGATAGAGCAGTTTCCGCTTCCTCGGGCTTTTAGTCCAGTCGTTAAATCACGACTGGAGGCGCTGGAAATAAGTGCAGGAGCTGAAAAACGAAATCAAGCCTTCTCTCAACCGGCGACGTTGGGTTGGCGCCTGAAAAGTCTGAGGGTCAAACTCAAGCTACCCGAACATAGTGGTCCCAGATGTATCGACAGCGAACACTTGAACATCTTTCACGATCCAAATGGTAAGTTGAGTACGTGGCGCATCCCACTGTTGATGATGACCAATCGTTTTCTGGTTCACAATCCAAACCTCAACTCATTCCGCATAAACATAATGGCACTAGGCTCTGTCAATGCAGCATTTTGTGGTGAAGCACACAATCGTTTCAGGGATTCGGCGCGAAATTGTCAATGCATGGCGTATCCTGCCGCAGGTGCTCATTATTCCTAAGCAACTGCTATTCCTCAGTGATTCTCCTGAAAGGTCATCCACACTCCGATCGTTACGGTTTATAGCCACCTCTTATCTTTGATGGATATTTACGGTCTAACCCGTCTACCCAACTATATGATTAACCCTGGTTATATGACTTTTACAATCAGATCGTCGATAATCTCACCATGATCATCATTGTTATGATCATTTTTATTTAGTGTGCATGATCACGTAGTGTGGAATGTGATAGCAGCACGGTCATTACCTACGCAATATCATGTCGTAAGTCTTCGGATTATGGTAGAAAAGAGATTGTGCAGATTTACGACCTGTAGACCGAGCTATCCATGTTATCTGGGTATTGTCATGGTATGGAGGGGAGGGAACTTTTGAGAACTTTGAACTTACTAGAAAAGATAGGGTCGGAAATCGAAAATTGGAACCGCTTAAGGGCGATGTCAGACTTTGCGAATCGAGAGATTCGCTAGCGAATCGCTCCTATCCAGCGATTCGCTAGCGAATCGCTCGATTCGCAAAGTCTGACATCGCCCTAATGTTGACGTGAAAGTATACGGCTGTTGGCTAGCTTTACATACTGCGACTGTTTTAAGAAACTCACAATTAGCTGGAGTTGAAAGCTAGCAGGTATTTTCCCTCATGTTGGAATCAATCGATATCTATCAATTGCACTATAAGCGAATGACTGGTCTAGCGTGATGGTTTGAGCTTGGTGTTTGCTATTTGTGCCGTCGCATGTTGGATTACATTCTATAGGATTATTTTAGAGAACTAAAACTTCTTATTCAATAGTCATTTTGAAAGAACAAATGTTCTGTACTGAAACCATTGAAGTAATGGGGAGTAGGGTCATATTATCATCATTCGAAGGTTTTGCACCGTGAACAGGTTCGGGTTTCCGATTTCCGAAAGTCAGAAAAGCTTTAGCAGCTTGTCGTCGTCTTGTACAGCCATCGGGAAAAGTAAGGGAGTACATTAGAAGCAGATAATTTTGGAGGAGACGCTTTTCCAAAAGTCGGTAACCGGAAGTCGAAAACTGCACGAGTAGCATCCTATAATTATAACACGTTATCATAACGATAATTGAGAATGTTTTCTTGTTGCGCAGATTTTACGGAAGAAGTCAAAATGAACTTTTCGGATTCTATGCGGGTTACAGAGCCCTACCCGACTTGCCTCCCATGGGAGAGACTGTTTTGAATTTTGCAAAAAATTATTTGTTCAACCAAAGAAATGTCCAGAGCAAATAAACGGATGCATATCAAAATGTCTCTTTATCTTTCTGATGTAGTTCACAAACTCATAAACTAGCCGATCATCAAAGGACGGGACCGCCTTTGATAGACGCCGAGAAATCAGCGGAGCGCCGCCGTAGGTCATTACATCACTGAGAACACTCACTGATAAGGCA